TGAATCAATCATGATGCCATAATGCATGCTAACGATGAGCAGGAGCTGCGCCTAGAAGCACAAGCTTCACAAGTGATACTCAGAAGCTTTATGTTTATGCCAATCACGGTTCAGGGATACTCAGAAGTTGTCTCAGTTTCTCTGTTGCTACATCTGTATGGATTGGATCACTGGACTGTTGGAGCATCATTCTCTGTCCGTAGGAAATTTGTGTCAACACTCTATAGCCAGTTTGGTTAATAGTTCTCAGCCATCAGAAACTTAAAATAGCATGGGCCAAAGTCATCAGGTGAGTGCTCTAAATGACAAAGCAATGTTCTCTGCTGAACTTTTGACTAGGATTCATGGAATCCGATAGGGAGTGGCTTCTGATGCACTGGAACATTAGGTCAACCTGGGATTGACTTTCCAACCACATATCGAGTTCATCATAGAATAGTCATGACTCATGTATTGAGACCACCTACTAGGAAGAATAACTGTGCAGGCTGAAGTCCTAATCCTCCAATCTGCACCTTCATACAACTGCATGGTGGTTCAGAACCACATACTGTCCAAGGATATCCTACTGTTTGAGAACCTGCTGAAGCAAATAGCAATGTTGCAAAGAGGTGCAACATGGGTGCTGAAAGCCTGAAACAACTGCCAGAAATTTTAGCCGTAGCTGATTCTTCTTGTAGGTGAACATGTCAAATAATTTGACTGGAGGGAATATCTTTTTAGAACCGTTGGGTTTGGCTTACTGATTATTTTTCTACAAAAGAAGAGAATTTCAAACAAGAACATGTTGGTTGATTGGTTGTAAATACAGGAAAGCAAACATTGTTCACTTGAAGGCATTTCTTGAGGATTTATGTACCTGACTCGAATGATTGGTGCCATGTTCCTCTTAATGAACTGGCCCGATTGCAACTGTTCGTTCTATCCCAGCTTGCAGTGTTGTATATGTATTGAAGCATGACCTGGTAATACAAATCTAGCGCAAAGTTTGATTATGCTTAGTTTTTCTTCGCTTTGGGACAGCAAGGAGTGAAGTCATTACTTGGGTTAGATCTTTGAGCAAATTCTGCCTGACTAATGCCAGCATTTTAATTTAGCGTCTAAAATTTTGTCTTGATTGCCCCTGCAGGAGCTTATTGTTCACTCGATCATTTTCTTGAGTTAATCCCTTGCTAGATAGGCTCCATGTCTCTGTATTTTAAGGCTTTCTAAAGCAATGCTCTACCTTAACCTTAAGTACCGTATTTTGTAAAAATGGATTGTGTACACGGGGGGAGACAAGGGTGGATCAATTATAGTCCTAAGCCTAACTATCTAAATTTTCACATTAAAACTCTATTGATATATCATGAACTATATAAAGATAGTACTAAAAGCATAGCCTAACTGCGAACCAAAGAAGCAACCCTTGCTACCAACTTGAACCCAACCAAGTGAAATGGAAAAAAATGTTCACTTTCGTCTCTCAACTATACGTCGAATTACATTCTTGTTAGAGTATCCTCGGAAAATGCTTGCGGTTTGACGTCCGACGCAGCAAAGAAAATCGGACGTGATCTACTCATGGCCTACATGCATGTCTAGCTGTTGTCTTATCTTTACTCTCTGGGGCTACTGCATGGCTGCACATCTCTCTCTCTTGCTTTTTTTCCTTAGTACTTCACTCTAATATATAAGTATGCATGTCTGTATATAAAAGCTATGCATGTATTAGTAACTTCAAACTATTTTTTATCCTAAAATATTTATTAAATCTACAATCCGATTACAATATTATATCCGTTGCAATTTAATTTTTACAACAAGATCTTAGTTGATTATATTTTGATCAAAAAATAAATAAGAAGAATAAAACACTGTTAAATCCTAATTGAAACATTTTTATTCCATATATGAAACAACGAGTTACAAGTGTTGCAACACCGCACCTATTTATTGAAACACTCAAAGAACACCGTTGCAACATTTACGTTAAACTAGTGAAACATTAGAAAATACTTATTGAATCATCTAAATAATATCACGTGCAATATTTATAAAGATCTACCACATCATAAAATTTAAAATGTGCAATTAATATATAGTCAAACTCCAATTGAAACATTTATTTCTCGCACGTGAAACACCCAAGTTTTACTGTTGAAACATTTGTATTTTTTCATTAGAATATAATGATGTTATGTATTGTTATAGAGATTTAATTACAACAAATACAACAGTGAACTCGGATTGTAAATCAGATAAATGGTTTTTGAGAAAAAAAAACATTTGAAGCTTGTCACTATCCCTGTACCTCTTTCATTTGGTACTATGCATGCACGGTAAAACTTTTGTCGTTGTTGCTCTTCTCTGCATGCATAGGTAATAGTTTTTTAATCGAATGGATGTGGATCCAACAGTAGAATAGGCGTCCGACGAAAACAATCACATCGGATGTCCGATCCGTAGTCGTCTTTGTATCCCTCAACATTTAAAATCAGCACAAATTGAGTCCCTTAACAATATTGAGGATGGTTTCGGCTAAAGTGGTGCCTTAGTCTTTGTCCCATGTGGTGCCTACGTGGCACTAGAAGAAAAAAAAAGAAGAAATAATAACACCAATGAGACCTGCATGATAGCAAGGACCTAGATAGAAAAAATAAAACAAATATGTTAGGTCCACATACTTTGGATGGCGTGAGGGCAGGTGTCGGTGCCTTGGTGGGCTAGCAGCGGATACTGTCTTTGGTGTCCTGATCTGGAAGGCGGCTTGGCAGAGGATCTCATGCAGGCAACCGTCAGCATCCTGGTGGCGGATGGCGTGCCAGCAATGATCGGTGTCGTGGAGTTGGCCATCGAGCGGCATCGACGTCGAGCATGAGTGGCGGTGTGCCGACTACCATAGTGCCACATGTGTGGAGGTGGAGTGGTGGATAGCAGGATGGGTGGTTGATTAGGTCTTGGGGTTAGGACAGGGATTAGTTGGAAAATGCTTTGTGTCGTGCGTCCGACAGGAAGACAAACATAGGACGCTAGCTTCCTGCTCTATACTAGTCTAAAGTTGATTCACATTTCCCGGTGTTTTTTCTGATTTCTCTTTCCCTGTTACTTTTCCTCAGCTGCATGCATGCACAACCTGCATGCATGCACAACTTGCATGCAAGCATATAGGAACATACAAATTGAGACATGATCTTTAAAACCATTTTTCTTCCAAACTGATTATGCGATTCATGATCCGATTATTGTGGTGTATTTGTTGTTATTAAATCTTTACAATGAGATCTTGCATGATTATATTCTAACGAAAAAATATATGTTTCAACTGTTAAAATTCAGTGTTTCACTCAATGAGAAACAAATGTTTCAATTAGAATTGGACTATGTTGCACTTTAAAGTTTCTTTTGTTGCAATGGGTTTCTGAAATGTCGCATATGGTACTACCTGTTGTTGCAATAAGCATTTCACGATGTTTCAGTAGTTTTTTTTATCAAAATATAGCCATGTGAGATCTTGTTATAAAGATTTTATTATAACAAATCCAATGATGTAATCAAATCACAAATCAAATATATATTTTAAGAGAAAAGAGTTCAAAGAATAAAAAAATATGTATACATTATAATACAATACTAGTAGCCGTACATGCTGCATACATAGGCTAGCACATGCATGGCTGCATGCACTTGCACTTTGCATGTAGTGCTAGGTGCGCAGTGCGCTGCTACTAAGGGCTGTGAGAGGCGTCCGATATTTTGTTTTTTATCAGACGTCCGATGGGTAGTCTCCTCCGGATTAGTTACATACTTGGCTATTGGGCCTAGATTTTATGGGTTTGATGGACTTATCTATAAATCCTATATAAGTATCCCCATCAGCTATAATTTGGTGCAGCCACAGCATCGATATTATTACAGCTATTAGATGAGAGAATATGGGTGATATGAACCATTTGATTAAATATGAGCATTGGATACTTTGTGATTGCTAGCCCAACTTTACTTCAATATAAGATACTCTCAATTAAAACAACACCATAAATCACTGCTCCACTCTTCTAAAATTCTCTGTATTTGATCTAATTTAATCTAAAACCAATAGGCCATCAATGTCGTTAATTCTAACAAAATTGTTACCATTTCATTTATATCTCCAGTTTCAATTGCACAAACATATCCTTGATAAAGAATTAAGAATGTATCCCTATATAAGATAGCCCATATGTTTCGTTTACCCACAATTCCCATACGTACTGCTCAATGCTTAATGTACCATTAATATGAAATCAGGTGCCAGTCAATAACAGGTTAGTCTGTTCATATTTCATCATTTTATTTTATTTTTTATCTTCTTACACCCCCTTCCCATAATTATAGTGTAATTTCCCCTTCTGTTTTGGACAATATGTTTGCATGAAATATTTTCTTTAGGGTGTCAGTGACACTATGATGTGCCCAATTCTCTTCCATATAATATCCAAAGGATATACATTTTAGAGTGATAAATGGACACAGAGCTATTGTAGCACAAACTGGTAACACTTGACTAAATGTGTTACAGGGAATACTGCAGTAGCACATAGTATGTGTTACATGAAAAGGTTGTAACACAGTGTGAAACAGTGTTACAGAAAGAGCTGCAGTGACATATAATAAAAGTTACTAAGGTTTGATTACCAGTATTTGCAGTACCGTCGGACTCTTGAGCATATTATATTACTTTACTTAAACACCGTGGGAATGGTGGAAGATTAGGTGGCCAACTCATCAATAACTTTACTTAAACACCATGGGAATGGTGGAAGATTAGGTTGCCAACTCATCAATATTTTCAGAAACAACCCTCATCTCTGGTTAATTGTGTTTTGGCTCAGGCTATCAAGGTCCGTTCGATCTCGGGCTAGCATTGATCTGGCCGTCCACGTGGCCCAGCGTGGTTGTTCTTTCGGAGTCATAGGAACGGTGAGATTAGAATGGACGGTTCAGATCTTCGAGCAGATCCAGGGACAAAAACCCAAGCCGCACATGTACTCCCGGCCCAGCCGGCCTCGCTCTCCTCGCCTTTGTCTCGCGAGAGGTGGTGACGGCGGTGGAAGCGCGATGTATCGGCAACAGCGGAAGTGCGACGCCACGCCTGCTGCTGGCGTGCAGTGCCGCCGTCGTTTTCCCAGCTCGCGGCTCTCCTCTCCTGACGATGTCCTTCCCTTCTTCCCTCTCTTCCATTGATGGCTCCATCCATCCCCAATCTCACCCCTAACCCTAGGTTGGCCTAAACACTAAAGATTGTTGACGATGGTGCTGCTTGCGCAGCAGGTGGTCAGGTTTTGCCGACGGTGCGCCGTGGATTTGGGCCTCCCATCCTCAAACCTTCAAGGTCATTTCTATCTCCCAGCCAAGGACACTGTTCAAATGTGCTCCTCCATTCCCCTCCTTCCCCAGGTCAGCAGCAGCTATGCCTCCTTTCTCCTTCTCACATTTATTCTCCTTTTTATGAACAACAATTTAGCTTTGCTGTTTATATATCACAGAAACATAATACCATCCCCTCAATTGGACGATGGGTTAGTCATATTTTTTTTCCATTTTTACAAATCCACTTATCCCTGGAATTAACCTGTTAATATTAATTGCAGGTAGACATGTATCATGTGTTTTTGTATGGTCTGGAGAAGGCATGCTTTAGCCATGGTATGTCATATTTGCCAACTCTCTCGCAACAAGATGTAACACACACGTTTTAGTATTATTATTATTGGTTTTATATTTCTTGGTTGATTGCTGGTAATGCTACTCTAATGATGTACATGCAACCAAATGTGCATACTAGCAAAATAGATCAGTGGAGGAATGATTGGTACCCAAAATTAGCAATTCACTTTATTATTGCTTCTTTCTCTCCGTGTGTTTGTTCTGCAAGTATAGTAGCACTAGCATTGGTGAGGAGGTGGATAGCATCAGTTGGCCTGTGGACATGACCATATATATATTGGCATTCTTTGTGAATGAAATTTGTTTTCATCATCTCCTTACTCCAATGGTTGCATAGTATTGCCTTGCTTTCCTTCCTTAAAAAAATAGTTCTTGCTTTATAGAAAATCCACTGCCAAGGTATGCTATATGAATTTCTAGCAATTTTTGCAGAATTGACATGGCATGCCCTTCAAGGACTATTTGTGCTTGCATTGGAGTTTCAGTGATGAACCCAGGCTAATGTTCCATTTTATTTCAGTAATATGCTCAACACTTTATTTATTGTGGTGTTCCTGAACCTGAAGGATAGTATAGCCTACTGGGAATCAATAGTTTGTGCCTGCAGAGCTAATGATGAATAGCCAAACTAATTCTAGAGCTCCCAATTTGCATGTTTCCAACATTGAAACAAGACTTATCCATTCATTGGTACAACATATCCGTAGGTAAGTTTGGTTTGAGACTTCCAGTTTTGCCCAAACAAAATCCTATATGTAACTCTGCATGTGGTTGTTCTCTCATTTTTGTCTATACAAATTAATTTTACGTGGTTACACATGAATATAATCTCTTAGTGTTCTTTCTGTGTGATATACATGAATAGCAAATATGGCACAATAAATTATCGAGAGCTACAATTTTGCGGTGTGCGTCAAAAATAGTAGTTCCAATTTAAAAGATATGAAAAATCCCCGTGCAGTGCACAATATTTTTTTTTTCATAAGAAAGAGTTTACCAGAATTGTTCTTTATTTGGGGCGTTCGTCCATAACCAATAGTATGTCTTCCCAATCCTCTTGATAGATCAAACATCGTAGGGCGATTTTCAAGACACAAGTTTCTTTGAGCAAATTCCTGTTCCTGTTCAATTTGTTAGCTCTGATGTGACTCTTCTCTTTAAAAGATCAAGCCAGATAAGTTCTCCAAATAGTATGTGCTGTTTAGAGAACATAGCTCTTTAGTTAGTTGTAAAAGGTGACAGCACTGGCATGGTCTGCCGCCGCATGTTCAAGGAGTTTTGACCAAACGTGCAACACTGATTGCTCTTGCATAGTTGACCCACATCACTAATAATTTTCTGCAAACTGGAAGTCCCTGATGCAGTGATTATTGCTTTCTATCACTTGCATAATCGACATACTTTACTTTCGCGAGGGGTAAAAGATTGAATATCATGCTCAGCGGGTAATCCGTTTGAAATGCCTGAGAAATTTACTACACATAACTCAATGTGCAAGCTATGATGAGCCATTTTTCTGATAAATAACAGTTTATTGAGTGTACCTTTATAATTAACTTGGAATTTTCCAGTGTTTATGTATTCAGCAGGATGACCAGCTGCTGTGAGCCTATGATTCTTTCCTTAGTTTAGAACAAAATTGTTTACCAGGTTACAATAAAACCCGATGACATCAGTTTATGGACCTTGTGAGAGGCACTAAATAAAACAAAACAATTAAACAACCTCTGATAAAACATACAAATTATTGTCTATTTCTCACAATGTTCCACATATGTTTTGATCGCTTAATAGGGCACTTATAATTTACAGTTGCTCCATGGTGGATTATTTATTTAGTACCATGACATGGAGATTTCGTGATCCAAAATTTTGGTAGCTTTAGGGCTCCTACATAAGGGTTGCTTTGCATGTACATTTTTCACACCTTTTCTTACAATGGAGAGACATTTTGCCACGCAATAATATCATATTATTGTAACAATCACTGTACATCCTTTTCCCCTTGCTTCATTTTCTACCAAGTCCTGTTTAATTATCTACTTGTTCCCGTCAGCCAATATTGTTATCAAACTTATTGGTTTTTCTATGAGAAGTTCCTTGGATGGTATGATTAGCTTAGTACTCCCTCCGTTTCAGGTTATAAGACTTTCTAGCACTGTCCATATTCATATAGATGATGTATACCTTGATTCATTAACATCTATATGAATGTGGACAGTGCTAGAAAGTCTTATAGCCTGAAACGGAGGAAGTAATAATTTTATTTTCAACAATGGACCATACTACTGTTAGCTACTCACAAGCTATGTAATGTCATTGTGTTTTGCTCTTAATTAATTATTCACAAGGATAATAGCTACAAATTGATTCTATTATGGTCAATCTTCGCGGTTCTGAGTTCTGTGCTGACCAGTCAAAATGCCACTGCTCCTCTCTCACCAGCTATAAATATTTAGCCTTTTGAATTAATCATGCATTTACGTGTTCTTCTGATGGATTTTGTAGGCATATGCTGATAAGCATATTATTTGTCATTTTGCAAGTGAACTAAATCCCAGATATTTCTTCTTTATGTTGTAGATGATGTTCAAGGTGAGCAGGGGCGCCAGTAGATGTCTAGCTAGCACTGTGGTTCTTCAGTATTTTGTAACCCATGTTGTCATTCCTTTTATATAATAAGATTTCATTGTAATTTTAGATTAAATTCGATCAATGTTGCCTATATAAAATTATGTATATGTATTCTCTAAGTTGTTCGTTTACAGTATAGTTTGTTTCCAAATTTGGCCAACATTATAGAGTAATAATGCTTATGTAGAAAATTCTGATTATCATAAAGGCACACTGTGATGATGGTCAAAGGTTATTTGATTCCATGGATGCACAACTCTATATATGAAGGGACAAGCAGACTCTTCTGTGCATTTTGATCAATTCAGATCGCACACGGCGTAGCACGTGTTTCTTTCTAGTATATATAAGAATGAACAAGTGCTCATATGTTGATTTTAAAAGTCATTATATAAAGTTATAGACCTAATAACTAGAGTTATCTAAGAATTGATCATTAAAGAATTTATGCTACTTAAAAGTTCTTTTAAGAGTTTGATCACAATATATAGATAACAAAAATTAGTACTAAAAGCTGAGATAATCACACGTTACTCCTTTAATGGCAAACTTCATGGAACATGCTATGACAAAATAGAAAAATGAGGTTCTACTGATTTATGAGCTATACCAAAAAAGAAAAGGAAACCTCAAAATAAAAACCAGAACTGTTGTTATAATCAAAATTATACATGCTTTACTGGATTGTGAGCAAAATTAGTTCATAATGTTGGAATAAATGGGCTAGGCTCAATTTAATTCAATTAAAATCTCAAGAGCCCACAAGTAATGTTAGAGAGAATAATACTGCCTTGAAAATTTAGGTGGAAGAACCTCAACTTAAATAGGGTGATATTAGAAATTCCCTGTTAACCGGTTGAGGTGATGGTTGGACTGCCACACGCATGCGCGCATGCCGAGTCGCCCTCGGCCGTGGGCGTAGCGAGGCGAGGCGGCCGACCGAGCCGAGCCTGCTTGCTGCTCTTCTGTTTTGTAACAGACGAGAATAAAGTCACCATTAACAAATGAAATTCATTGTGTTGTAATCTCCACAACAAATGAGAGATTCATTGTGTTGTAACATCCACAACAAATGAGAGATTTATTTGTTGTAACCTTCACAACAAATGAAAGATTCATTATGTGGTAACCTTCACAACAAATGAGATTTATTTTGTGGTAACCTTCACAACAAATGAGATTTATTTGTGTGGTAATGGAGATCTCTCTCTCTACATATAACGCAAGGCAGAGGCTCTCAAAGTGTGTGTCTTCCTCCTACTATTGTTCCTTGGTGATACTCTCCTTCTGTTCCTGCGCTGTCTCTCTGTTTCCCCGGTTCTGTTCATCCCGCGCGCACGGGTGATCGGAACGAGCAGGTGCCTCCGAAACTCCGTCCGCTTGAGAACCTGCACGGGTAGGCGGGCGATCAAGTTTTTGGGTAGCGCTTCAAGCGCGACTGCTCTGCATCATCTTCACCAACATGTCGACAACCAGTGACAACAACAACACTGGAGACAAGGAGAAGGAGCCTCTCGTCAATACCAACAGAAGCAATACTGCCTCAAACTCCAGCAGAGGGCCATTCTCGGGGTATAACGTTTCACTATTACCGTTCGTTCTTCATTTCCTACAACTGTCTGTCGCAATATTATTGCGTTCTCTTATCTATGTTGATGCTTATTCTATATTAAGCATGCTCATGTTGTACACATCTAGTACTGCCACTAGATCTACTCAAATTACAAATGTCATGTTTGTTGTCTTAATATTTTGGATTAAAATATGCCGAATTAATTATGACCAAATTTCCAACACATAATGCATAGGAAACTTCGATGTTATCACCAACCAATTGAAGCAAGTGGTGATTTTGAAAAATTTTCATGTAACAAAAGCTGTACATATTCATCAATAGGGGAAAAATGGCAGAAAGTGAAAGAGTTACCGTAGTATACATGTTATTTCACTCTCCAATTTATTTAAAATTAATCACCTATAATACTAGGTAGAAAAAAAATCTTGTAAAGGCTGATCAGAAGGGATGTTTTTTTTTCATATTCACAAGTGACGTATGCATAAGATAAAAAAAAGAAATGTAAAACTAAATGGATAAATGTATATTTAAAGGAAACCAGTATTCTTTTTTTTTTTGGGAATTGAAGGAAACCAGTATTCTATAAATGGAGAAACTCAAACTGTTGTTCTAATCGAGTTCAGCTTCAACAGGCCATCTGGGAATTATTTTTTTGACTGACATGGGCTCATATATTTTGTTTTAATTTTTAAATTATTAAATTTTGCTTCATATGCCATGTCAGTGCCACGTTAGATGAAAATCGAGTCAAATTAGCTATGTAGCGTGCCTCATCGGCTAAAACCACCGTCCAAACCACCTTGATACATATATTAGACCGGTTTTGACAGTCCAGGTACCGATTATATTGGTAGTGCGGTTTAAGGATGAAAATCGAACTAGCTGCAAGTTAAGGGACCTAAAATAAACTTATTCCTTTCAAAAACGAAAGAAAACAAATCAGCCCAGTAGCAAACTGGGCCTGGCAAAGCTTCGTCTCGAGCCCCATGTGTCAGAAGGATGGACTCATCGTCCTGCTTTAGGTCATGGCCCAGCATCCTGCATAGTAGTATACCTGAGTCATCGATGGGAGCTAGGCTCGATGTCTCCTCCTTCCCGACTCTCTCCACTCTCCCCGACGCCGCCGCTTCCCGAAGACCGGCGGCGAGCTGCCAGCTGGGGATGCGCCCTCTCTGCTGCCGGAGAATCTGGATCCGGCCGGCATCGGCGACGGCGACGGCGAGGGCCGGGCGGCCAGATCGACGGCGCCGTCGACGTGGGGTGGAGAGCAGGTACGCCACGCAGCTCTACTCCTAGCCCTAGGTCGCTCTGCGCGCTGTTCTTTGGCTCCGACTGAATCCATCCGGTAATAAGTTTTGTACCATATCGCCCATTCTGAGACAACACGACCTGTTTATTAGCTCGATTTGATTCTATTCCATCGCCACCCCAGGGACACTCACCCCGACTGCAATGGGCAGCGGTAGGGCGTGTATCCGCCCTACCGTTTCAGCTGCAAAAAAAAAAAGGCAGTGAAAAGATCCCCTACTGGGGCACGGCAGGCGACCCCCTGCCGGCCAGCTGCAAAAAAAAAAAGATCCCCACGGCAGGCGACCCCCTGCCGAAAAGATGCCCTATAGAGGCACACAGTCGGGTCTCTCGGTGGAGGCAGCGCTAGACACTAGCGCTTGGCTTTTTGAAATTTGTAACATTAGATTTTTTTTTCTATGTTGAACTCATTGCTACTCATGGGTTAATCGAACCAATTGCAATTTGACCATTCCATCCTTTGGATGCATAGTTCGATTACTCCATATATAATACTCCAAAAACAGTGTATTTAGCCGAGAGAAGTTTAATTTTTTGAAAGAATCTTACAATAAACACACAACTAGACATTAAGATAGGTAGCAGAGGAGATACATTGATCTTTTGATATGCCCTTACTGCTAGCAGTTTTGCCGTAAGACGCACAATTTCGATCATACTCTGGATGATTTGTCATCCTTTGCCTTCTGACTTAAGACAATAGGAGTATAGGACATGAAATACTCTGGACGATTTCAGCGTAGTGACTGTGAAAATGATGCCGGTGGTGGAGGACGCTGAACTTTCATATTACCTTCCCTTGGAATCCTTGATTAGGTGGAATCCATTGAAGTGAACCACCAGCGGTTAACAGAATTGAACCACCAGAAACCGGGGGATCATTTCTGAAGGCTGTCCACAAGATGAACCTGGATGGATCAGTGACAAGCCACACACCAATGGAGAATCCCTCCCCTTCGGGATAGAAGCCAAACGCAAAGCGCCCTGAGGGGGAGACCCAACTTTGGGGGCCAGCTGTGTTGATTTCAGAACCTTGAGGAATGGTTGTCTCATTGATCTGAGCTCCCATGGAATGACTAGCTTGGATGATGAAGAGAATCAGGCACAGAGGGATAATACAAGGGAACATTGTTTGGCCAGAGGAGGTTCTTCCTTTGGGCTCTGCAAAATGAACTGCTTGGTTCTCATGTAAGGAAATAAATTCAGGACACAAAAACCTCCTATTATGTGCACATGAATTAAAACACAACATCAGGGATAATCACAACTCACAAGAACGTTGACCTGGACCTGGACTTGGGAAAGGGAAAGTACTAAGTTAGTCAACTACTGATGTAAAGTGAAAGTAATCTTGATTTTTTTTTTCTGGGCGTAGCCGTACCATAATGGTATGGAAGCAACATGTCAGTACAAGGAAGTCCCCAATTTTCCAGGGTGACAAATAACACATTGGACAAGTCATGCAATTAATTGCGCAGGAAGGTCTGGGGGCAAAAAATTGAACCGAATGATGGCAATGTATCAGAAAATGACATCCTAACCAATCAAAGCACAGAGGAAATAGAACAATCAAATATGCAGTTTCTCAATTTATTACAATATTTTTTCAAAACTGTTGCTCTTTGAGTGTGCTATATATGGCGACACTATATTACTAGTTAGGGCGAATTGCAGCGATGAAGATTAAATGTCACATGTTTGCACCCATTTAAAACAGAAACACATGATCATTCCACACTAGACAAATACAACATGATAATTTGATTGGCTCACATAATAATTATTTTTTCAAAAATTGTTTTAATATTAAAAAGCACTTTACTGATCTCTCTGTAGTCAAAGACCATGGCAGTTGGAGTAAATATTGGCGCAACTGCGATGTGCTACACTACACCCCAAGCAGGAATGTTTCTATTGCTAAAGTCAAGTGAAATTGTAGTGCATTATTGAAGGCCAGGCTCCAGCTATAGTGAAACCAGAGATATATAGCTAACGGTAGCAGATTGTCTTGAACACAGAACTGCTTAAAACTTTATGAATCTATCTAGTCTTTTCAAATCTACTAGCAGCTCATATTTTGTTCCCTAACCATTGCTCAAATTTTGTTGCGCTGTTGCTGACAATCCTCAGCATCATCTGGATTGTGACACAGGTTTGCTATCCTTATGTTTTTTCATGGAAATATAGGTGAACTAGGTCATTTACATATGCAGGGGTACCATTTGAAGTGCAAGTTACAAGTTGAGAGGGCCATGGTTACAGATGCATGTCACCTCACCATTGCATGTGGAGGCTTGATCTGCTAGGAACTTTGGCTGGCTGAAGAAACAAAAAATAATCTTATTTGCTTTTACATGCTCGTTTGTTACCGCATGGAGCAAACTATCTCAAAATGTTCTTTTGTCCAAAAACTTTGCTTCGGCACAAGATTTGTACATGCTATGTAAAGTATTTTTGCAGGTATTTGCCCTGTCAAGCTGATGATGTCTCAGTTGTCAATGTGAACAATCAATACTTTTCAATACAACACCGTTAGTCACGGCAAACAGTATTTGTACATGCAATGCATATTTCTCAGAAATCCAATTTATATATCTCTGTTTTCATGTGAGTTCAGATTAGAACCGAGACGGCAGCAGAGTTTGTATAACCCCTTTTTTTTACTTTGAAATTCAATGGGAAAATATGTTCTGAAAGTTGTTTTTCCTTTGCTTGATGTTCCGTAGTAAAATGAAAAATTTGCTTGATGCAACTCAACATGTGATTTTCACCTGTCCTATGACCAAGTATGGTGTGCCTGTAGAGACGCCCTTGGCTGGAGTTCTGTTCCTTTTTCTTTTGATCATTGTTTGCTGCAGCTGTAAACGAAACAAGAGCTGATTATCATGTAGTAGTGAACATTTCATTCCACAAATGCAAAAAGGGGGAAATAATTTGAAGTGAAAATTACCATTCTTGAGTGTACGGGTGAAAAGTAGATTTTAAGAAGAGTCCAAGAGAAGGAAAATGAAAAGATGTAGTATTACTGAAATGCCCAACTCAGGGGTAGCTTGTCCAACAGTCCAAACCTCACTCGAAATTTGAAATGCCCAACTCTGTTTCTCGAAAGAGCATGGTTGAGCCCAAAACACATTGAAGTGAGCAGACGATCGATTTGAACAAATATTTAAAGTGCACGCTACTATGACTTTTCCTTAGATACTCCTAGTTCATACTACTATGAAAATTTTCCGGTCTTCTCGAGTACCTAACATTTCAGATCGTATCTATTTGGCAAAACAAAAGAGGAAAATATCATATGTACGTCTAAGTATGCAGTCTTGTTTTCGATTAATTAACACTACTTAAAAAAGGTTTTTATATGCGGCTAAATTTATTTTTCACAGAAAATTCACGCTATAATGTCTAAACAAGGCTTGTGAAAATAAATAATTTAAGGTGGTTATAGGCGGCCAACTCTAAGAGACCTACCCGTGAAAATTGGATTTCACAAACTGCCCAAATTAGTTTTCCTAGGCGGTCCTCTAAAGTGAACCATTTCTTCAAATGTTTTTGACGGAAAGAAAAAAAGAATATTAAGATCCAATCATAATATGCAATTTCCCAAACTTCTTATAAGTAATTGTAGGCACAATCACAAATTCCCAAAACTAAAAAAAAAAATTGCAAGTTCTCCAAAATCCAAGAACTCACAAATTCCTCAAGCATATGAGCAAGCGGATGGTAATAGGTCTTGCCCGAGACTTTGGTGGCCTATGGAGCTACCGTTGACACCCTAACCGACCTTTATTGACGCCATCAAGTCATTTTTGTCGACGGCACGCAAGCCACGACCCTCACCAAGGTCTTAATTGTCACCAATCCATAGTCCTGATCGTATATTTATTTTGCGACGGAATGACTAGTACTAACCAAACAACCCCAATACCAATTTGAGCACATACAAGAAACAATAATCCTTCGGGAAAACATTAAAAAAAAGAAGAAAAAAAAGGGGGCAAAACTGCCCAGCCGTGAACTGGGCCTGGAGGACGTGAACTGGACTCATGGTAATCTTATCTCATGGCCCACCTTATATGGAAGGCTCGATCTCGCTTCCCGTCGTGCCGCCCCTCTCCTCCCGACTTCTCTCCCCGATGGCGGCGCTTCCCCACGTCCGGCGACAAGCAGCCAGCTGCAGATGCGCCATCTCTGCTCCATCGGCCATACTCTCCACGGCATCGGCAACGGCGGCGGTCGGGCGGCGCCAAGCTTCAGCTCGGGCCAGATCAACGGCGCCCTCGCCGCCGGGCCTCCATGGAGAGCAGGTAGGCCTCGTCTCTACTCCTAACTTGGTCTGCGCGACGCGCTGAATCCATCCCGCAATTAGTTTTGTCCCACCTCGCTCATTTTGCGACAGAGCGACCTCTTTTTAAACTCTGATTGATTCTATTGTGTTGCCTCCCCGGAGACACCCACACCGACTAGATACAGCGGTAAGATCCCCACTGTGGCCACGGTTTGGCGGACACCTTCTGCTGTAAAAAAATAAAAATGGAGCAGTCATAAGGTCCCCTCCCGTTACGGGGCACGGCAGGCGCCTACCGGTTAGGCTGCATCCATCATACACGTTAAGATGTCAAATACGGCATACATACAGTCGGGTCTCTCGGTGGAGACAGCGCTAGACATTAGCGCTTTGCCTTTTTTGAAATTTTGTATCATCAAATTATTATTTTTCTGTTGATTAATCACGATAGCAGCAATGGAGGCCTGCATTTGAACCCCCTCTGCGTTTCAATTCCAATTTCCTTTGCATTTGTATTTGAATACCATATTTACCAGCTTAAATTATCTATGGTATAGACTACGGAATGTGTATAGCAAACTGGAAAAATTAGAGATGTGGCGATAGAGGAGAGCCTATCATCAGCAGGTATGCAAAGAATTTCCTGTGAAACGAAGTACTGAAATACTCTTAGCAGAGGTGATTTTTTTTAAGCCAGAGATGTGAATGATTTGTTCACGCTGCAAGACAATGGAAATAATGATTGAAGTGAAACATCAATCAAATATTTTCAGCCAATTGTCTGAAGATGTCAATACCGGGATTCCAAATAAAGCAATAAGATCGGCTATGCGCTGCTTTGGCTGCTCCGACAACCTCTGAGACTGAGCTGAGCTCATCCAAGCATGGACGAAGTATCCAACATTTTGAAGTCCTTTTTGTGCTCAAGGCATTCATGTAAGCAAAAAGAAAAATGATCTCCCACACGAGTAATTTGCGTCAATTTTTGTTTCTGAAAAGGATACCCTTTCTTCTAGTTTTCTCAGAGTGCAATCAATCATGAGGACATAATGCATGCTAATGATTACCAGAAGCTGCGCCTAGAAGAAGCAGAAGCTTCACAGGCGTCATAAAGGGAAGCTGAAGCTTTAAGGTTTTATGCCTATCATGGATACTTAGAAGTTGCAACAATTTTTCTGTTGCTACATGGACTGGATCATTGGACGAGCTGGTGCAGTGGTGCTGTTGGAGCACCATTCTGTTTTCAGGTGGGTGCTCTAAATGGCAAAGCATGTTCCCTGCTGAACTGTTTTAAGACCTCCTACTAGGAAGATACTAGTTCATTTTGAAGTCCTAATCCGCCAATCTACACCTTCATACGACTGCATGGTGGTTCAGTCAGCTCAATGAGCATAACTGAACATTTCAAGAAGTTTTTTTTTAAGAACAAGAACCACATTCCGTCCATGGATATGCTGCTGTTTGAGAACCTGTTGGCAACGTTGCAAGGATGTGCAAATGAGGTGCTGAAACCTGACTACCACAAATTTTAGCTGTAGCTGGTCGGAGCAAAGTAATGTCTAGGTGTAACGCACTGTAAATTTGATAGATGAGACGCGTCCCTAAATAATATCCTTTTTAAGTCTTTGGGTTTGGCTTACTGATTCTTTTTGTACAAAAGAAACAAATTTCAAACAGAGCATGTTGGGTTACTGGTTGCGAACACAGCAAAACAAACATTTTTCACTGGAAGGCATTTCTTATGGATTTATGTAGCTGACTCGAATTTATCACTGGAATGCTTAATGAACTGGCAGAACCACAGCAATTCGTTCTTTTTCCTAGCCTGTAGTGCTGTATGTGAATGAAGGCATGAAGCATGACCTAGGAATACTTGACGATTTGTTCTGTACTTATTTGTGAGATTACTAGCCCCAACAAATTTAGCGCAAAGTTTGATTATGCTTGGTTTTTTTCCTTTGCTTTGAGACGGTGTCACGCCCTGGCAATGAGAACTTGGTTTTTTCTTTGCTTTGAGACGGTGTCACGCCCTGGCAATGAGCGATTTCAAGGCACGGCGACTAGATTCATTTCTCCTTGTCGATCTTAATCGAACGAATTACAACTTAAATAAGACTCGATCTAAGATTGTTCATGAGATAAAACGTGTTTGCTGTCCATCGGAGAACGAATAACACTGCAAAGTCATCCCTATTTTTGTCCGTTAATGATGACAATGGCAACTAATCAGAAGGAATTTGCAATTTCTCAGGATTTAGCTCGAAGTAGAGCGGTACTTTTTTCCCCGCGAGAAACCAACAAGCATGAGATTCTGACTAACAGCAATCACCATGACATGGCCCGGCACAAGCTATCGGCCGCTGATATTGTAGCAATGGTAGAGGATACGAACCCCACGAACTCAGCCTAAATGAAGATTGTTGATCAATGCAGAGAGTTGATCAACAGAACAAATAAGGCAATAAAGCAAGCACAACTAGCGAACATATCAAGAAACAAAAGCATCCAGACAGGAACAAACCCCAGGGCCAACGGGTACAGATTTCCCACCGGAAGTCTCACTGTAAACACAGGCCAAGTCTACCTCCTGTTGGAACGCCAAAATTGCATATCCAGTATCCAGCTCAAGACAGCCTAAAGATAAAAATAACCATGTTGCATACATAGATAAGGAGACATTCTCCCCAGTAACAGAAGAAAAGCCTAGTTCATCCTCCGGATGAGCTCGTTGATGTAGTCCTCACGGTTGCCGGCATCACCACCCTCGACATAGTGGTTCCTCTTCTTCTTGAGGCCACCGAGTGGTGCCTTCAACTTGAAGGGCCACAGGAAGTTGTTGGCCTCCTTGAAGTGTGGACCGACAGTCATGATCTCGTGGACAAGATCCTCAATGCAGATGATGTCATGCTTCCCCAAGCCCTAATGGTTGACCAACAATAGGCCAAATAAGAATTTGATTAGCTGTAAATGGCATATATACAACACAATGAAAGCCTACAAGAGCAAACATACCTCCTCAATGACTTTGTTGTTCTGAAGAGGAATCCTCTGCTTGTTGAGCTTTCCGTAACCCCTCTTGTAGATCAATTCCCTGACACTCTTCAGGTTTGGGTACCTGATCACACCAGAGAAGGTACTTGATTCAGCCAGGTAGAACATTAAAAATAACCAAGTATCTAACAAGCTCAAAAGCTATAAAGTCACTATGAGAACCCTACTGCTGATCAAAGTATTATCAAAGCAACATTTATGCCTCAAGCAGCTTAGCAATAATCTAATAACCCAATTGAGATAGTGTCATCATTCTAATTCTGCAACAGTTGACATATCCACCATAGTACTTTCAATAGCTTCTGAACTTAGATCAAACAAACAAGATTGAACAGAAATAGGCAAAGGCCATTAAGATTAACTCTTTCAAGAATGTCTAAATGGTAATACCACAAGTCCACAACAGACTATAAACAAGGGGGAAACTTATATGTTCATCACACAATTTTAGGTCTTAAAAGCATTGATAATTTGCGATGGAGGATTACAAGTCTGTAACAGCAAGCAATAATTAGCACAGCTAAATATATAAACAGAACAGCAGCTAAAATTGATAACATACCCATATGCAACATATGGCTCAACCCTGCGCAGCATGTTAATGGTTGCCTTGTTAACCTTGAGGAAGACACCATTGAAGATCTGTAGAATCAAACAATTAAGCACAAAGTTAATACACCAGCGTACGCAAGAGTTCACGCATTTCTAAGAAAACTGGTTCATAAACCAACCTGCCTCAACCGCAGAAGCTGCAAGATCTTCCTGGTCTTGGGGTGCATGGCATTGATACTACATAAAGCATAGCGAACTGTCAATGCTTATGCAAACAAAGACAATTTTAAGCCGTAGCGGTATAGTTTCTCACCCACGGATGCGGACCACAAACAGAAGTTTGGCCTCAGGGCTGACGTAGAACCCACCCTTCATCCGAGCCTCACGCTTGAGCTGCACAAGCTCCTTCTCCTGCAAAGAACACAATCGTCACAATAAATTCAAAAAGATAATGATCATTTCAGAAAGGAACTATCCCTTGAACAATGCCAACGAACAGATTAACTACACTTCAAAAGCAAAAAAAAAAACATAATCCAATCGCCCACCAGATTAAGTGTGTTGGCATTAAAACAAATTCATGGGATAATTAGACCATTTAATCATACCAGCTCTCAGCAAAACAGATTAATTAGAACATGACTACACCGTTGGTTTTTAAATCTAACGCAAGTTGCTAATTACTGGCATCTAGCTAAAAGAAACTGAAATCTTGAATTAAACGGGTTCAGCATCCACCACGGACACCTGCAGACGCGCATTAGACGCTTCTAAACAATCAATCGTCACAGGAGAAAACAATTCTCATATTTTTTAGCGGACTTCACGATGCGTCGATGCGCAACGCAAATCTAAACGAACCATTCCTAGACGCCACAGGGTTCCGCGAATCAACGGGCAGCGGGGAGGTTGCTCTGCTCACCTGCGCGTCGTACTCCTGGGCGTACTGCTTGGCGCGGGCGAAGATGAGCTTGCGGCTCTCGACGGCCTTCTTCTTCTCGGCGAGCGCCTTCTCCTTCCTGTCCGCCGCCCACTGCTCCTCCCGCTTCCGCTTCTTCAGCACCGACTCCGGCACCACCGCCGCCTTCGCCACCTCCGCCGCCATCTGCACACACACACACACCGCTCAGAGATCCGCACGGCCGAGCAGTCGCTGGATCGAGCTAGGGTTCGGGAGCTTACCGCGATCGAGTCCTGCGAGAGAGAGAAGACGAGATCGAGAGGGGAGAGAGAGAGGAAGAGGCGGCGGCGAGGAGGGAGAAGGGGATTTATGGGGGAGGCGGGAGGTTTTAGGGTTAGGGTTTCGGGCGCGGCTCGGGGTGTGGATCGGACGGCTGTGGTTGCCGCGGCCGCGTGATCGGACGGGTGAGGAGGGCTCTGGGAGGGATGGGAAATGGCGAATGGGAGATCTTCCGAGGGGGTGTGCGGAAATGTGACGGCCCAGGTTGGTCAAAGGTTTGTTGGGCCGGCTGACATCCATAAATGTGACGGCCCAGATTGGTTTGGGCCGAATGAGATGGTGTTACGGGCCACATAGTTGGCTGGCTAGAGCCGATAATAATAGGGGCAATTGCGTTTTTGGCCATATTTCGAAGACTAACTACTAATTTGACTAACTACTAATTTCACCCTGTTTTTTCAAGTTTGCTCATTTAACCCTCTTTTTTTAAACGAAGATGGAACTTGGCCCTATTCCGTGAAGGCAAGATGACGGTGTTAACTCAAGACAAAAGTTTCATTTATACCCTTATGAATTTAACCATGTTTCTCAAAGTTTTTTATTACACTTATCAGTATATATTGCCTCAAACACAAAAATACATGGTGCAAAATTATGTCTACCAAAAACAAAAAAAAAGAAAAAAAGTCAAGCAATAGGTCACCGCGTGGCCGAGGAGCGGCAACCAGGGGCGGCGGGAGGAGCGGCAATGGAGGGGCAGCGTCGGCTCGGCGACGAGGAGGGCCGCTGCTGGCGGCAGATGAGCGGCGGTGGCGGCTGCGGCTTGGTGATGAGGAAGTCCACCGGCGGTGGCGTCGGCTCGGCACGAGGAAGACCACCGGCGACGGCGGTTGCGGAGGGGCGGCGTCGGCGTCGGCTCGGCAGTGGCGGCGGAGGTAGTTGCCGAGGGGCGGCGGAGGCCACCACTCCTCTCTCCGCCCACCGGCTCCGCTGCTCCGTGCGCCGGCGCTCCCTTCCTTCGTACGACGCCACCGCCGGCGCTCCCTCCCTCCCCGTAGAACACTCCATCCATTGTGGCATAAAAAAAACATTTTTTTCTATTTTCTAAATGAAACCCTAACGGTGTGATGAAACCAGGGCCAAACGGCAACTCCAATTTTGAAAAGCAGGGTCAAATAAGCAAACTTTAAAAAGTAGGGTCAAATTAGTAGTTATAGTTCAGAATAGGGTCAAACGAGCAATTGTCCCATAATAATAAGGGTAGTACACCCGAAGTCCCTCGTCTTGTCACCAAATTACAAAATCGTCCTTAAATTGTAAAACCAATGAGAAGGTGGGCCCGAGGAGCTCGCCCACTCTGCCCAATAGGGGTGGCAGACCGAGACCGATAAATTTGGTCATCAATTCGGTCCTACGTAGTAAAAGACCAAATTTTTTCGGTCAATTCGGTTAGTCTCCTCGGGTAACCGAATAGAACGAATTATCAAAAATGTCTAAATACAACCTACAATCCACTACATTTAATAGGATTAAACTCTAATTTTCACATCCCTACTTCTTCTAGGCATGCAACCTAATAAGAGTCTTTACTCATAAGTGCTTATGAATTTATTTTTGTGATTTTTGTGTTGAAAATTTCCATTATTTCTTTGCATATATGAAAATGTTGTTGAATTTCGGTCAGGACAAAGACCGAGAGCGAATTTGTCGGTCCTAACATTTTTGCGCTGATATTCGGTCTTTATTTTTCAAAGACCGAAATACCGAAGACCGAGACTGGAATTTTCGATTAGACCGAATGCCCACCCCTATTGCCCAACGCCGTATGCGAGGAGAAAGGAGAAAATGAGAAGAGAGGAAGGAGAGAGGAGAAAGAGAATGAGGATGGCATGCGGGCCCCACATGAGCCCATCATTTTTAGTTATTTTCTAGCGTAACTAACATAAGTACTACGTGGAGCAAAGACTTAGTCAAAGCAGCCATCTAGGCGCCACATCAGCTAAAAACGGGGACAATACCGTCAAGGGATCTCGTTCGCACTGGTTTTTTGGTTTTTTAAGTTAGAGAATGCGTTATATCTGGTTTTACGGTTCAAGAACGATTTTGTAATTCGGTGATAAAATGAGGGACCTCCGCTGTACTTTTCCCTTTTTAGTTGATTGGCTAGCTAGCTTGCACATAGGCCAAGGAGGGAAGCGGCGCGCGCGGCTTCAGCTCGGAAACGTGTCGCGCTTCGGTTCGTCGAAAGGAGAATGACACAGATTGATCCCTCTGTTTTGGTGTGGAAAATTCGGATCGATTACACAATCATCTGGAGTATTTTTTTTTGAGAAGAAGGAAGAGTGGATAGCTTAGGGTAAGTACTATAAATATCCAAGTACAATCTCTTGGAGAGATAAAGAACCACCCCTCAAGAGGTAACGACTATATAAAATTCAAGACAAAAGGAGAGAGAGGAAAAGTAGATTGGACAAACAAATATTGGGGCTAATCTATTAGAATTAGTATATATATACTAGAAATCAGCGCGTCTGTTGGCGCGCCCTCATAGTTAAACTCATACTAAGATCTCTTTTTTTAAAAAAAAATATATATAGAAGATTATTTGTCCATTGTTAATCCAATTTCAGTAAAATCCTTTAATTGGTTTCAATCAAAGTTGAATTAATGAAGACTGCATTAAGAAAACAATACAGTATATTTGAATAGGTCCGTTACTTTATTCTAAAAAAATAATTTGTACAAAAGAATGATTATGTTTTATTTGTATATAAAAGAATACATGTTATGAATCAATTGTAAGCAATTTTATGGTAGTAATTTGTATTTATATTCAGTTTTTATGTTTCCATAGTTTATCGTGGCAAAGTTAGTCATTGAGCATCCATTCGATGGTTATCAAGCTGACCAGCGCTAGGTTGCACGAGTGCATGCACATGCGTGACCACGGAGGGAAGACAAAACATACGGAAGATTTGGGAATTGTTTACTCCCTATATTAGTCGTTTTGGACAAAAGTAAAATCAAACTTTAAAATCTTTGACTACGAATGATTTCTAAAATATTTATCTTAGAAATATGAAAACCACATGTGTAGATTAGTCTTAAAAAGTACTTCAATAAAATAATATATTTGTTAAAATGTCTATATATTTTATAATAGAAAATAGTTATCAAAGTTACTTTTTAAAGACCGTGTCCTTATCCAAAACGACAAGTATTATCAATCCGGAGGGAGTACAATTTAGATGATGTTTGGATCGAGGGACTAGGATGTTTAAACACTAATTTGGAGTATTAAACATAGACTACTTACAAAACTAATTGTATAAATGAGAGCTAATTCGCGAGACAATTTTTTTAAGCCTAATTAATCCATAATTAGCACATGTTTACTGTAGCATCACATACGCTAATCATGGATTAATTAGACTCAATAGATTCGTCTCACGAATTAGTCCAGGGTTATGAAATGGTTTTTGTCATTAGTTTACGTTTAATAAGTATCCCAATACATGATGTGCTGTATCATACACAGGGGCTTACTAACTCGGTTGAACTCAAGCCGCTTGTCCTCTTCAAGTTCACAACTCCACAGATTTGCCACCGATCTCACCGTCCAGCACGAGGGTCAGTGCCGGCGTCGCTCTCCATCGCCAAGTCCATTGTGCATTTTGTGAGCACCCAGGACCGTCTTCGCTTATGTCGCTCAGCGTCGTCAGATACATTGGTGGATAGGCAGGGGCGATCTGCCATTTTGTTTCACTGGTATGGCAGCAGCGACGGCAACGACATGAGCTTGGTGGGGGTTACCATGAAGCTGAGCAATGAGGATGGTGCCAAAGCCAGGAGGCGAGTGAGACTATTTTTTTTTTCAATGTTCGATCTTTTATGGATTTTTTTCTTGATGATGGATTTATATTCACTCGGAGAAGTTGGAATGAAAAATTATATTGAATGTTTATCTGTTTTGCAAAAACTACATATACTAAAAGTTGGAAGCATGTTTGATATCAATCAGATATATCTTTCCTTTTATTGATCCTCACATACATCACTTGATTTATTTATATCCTTCTTGTTCTGAAGAGCTAAAATACTACTTCTTCCGTTTCACAGTCTAAGACTTTCTAGCATTGTCCACATTGGATAAATTAAAGGAGAGGGCGATGTGCTCGCCCCATAGCCCCCCGCGGGCGCCTCGAGGGATTTCTAGGCGACGTGCTCGCTCCGCTGTATATCCACGTCGACCCTCTATTGCTCTCCTCCTCCCGCCCCTGCCTGGTGTGTTGTTCGGGTCGTGGGCTGTCTGTGCGGTCCGCCAATAGCTCCTTTCCTGGGCCCTAAGTGTGGATTGCTTTGCTGGCCTGTTGTGGCTTTATTTCGTTGGGCCTCGCTGTGGATTGCTGGCCGAAATAGGCAGAGGACATCGAACGGCCGATGTGTCGCCCTGTGAGATGTGCCGAGCGGTTTAGAGGAGGAGCGGCGTTGTGAGACGTGCGTTGGTGGGGCCCAGATTGTCGCCCATATTGAATGTATTGTATCGCTGCCTGTCTCGCCTACGTTTCCCAGCCCGCGGTAGAGTCGTCGACGTTTCGCGCTCTGGTTGGCCTGTTTTGTACCGTCGTGGCAATGCTGGCCGCTGACTGGTGGGCCACCTTCCTGTTCCTCATGTCATGCCGCTCGGCTGGCTTGCATCAGAACACACGGCGCCCCATGCTCTCTTCGCCCCGTCCCGAGGAAAGGCTGCTTTCTCTACTGCGTCAAGCAAGCCGGGCGATACCATCTTATCCTCCTCTCACGTTTACTTTGAGCTCTTGCTGTTTGCCAATGGAGAAATTAGCCTGGTAATCTGATCTTCTTTCTGTTCTCTCTCTTCATTGTTTTGCGGCCGCTGCTTCCCGGTTAACACATTTTCTTCGTGATCGAACGACAGAGCTGATCGCTGGAGTAGACGGTCAGGGGTGGCACCGTGCGTGAGCTGGTCCCTGGAGTTGCCACTCGGGGGGCAGTTCGCTTTGTCCGCTCGCTCTGTTCTTGCTTACTGCTGCTTCGGTGTCTTCTGAGGTAATGCCTGGTTTTGCTTTCTGTTCTGCTTTGCATGTTCTTTCTCATGCTGTGGCTTGAAATGGCCTTGCCTCTTTCTTTCTTTGCTGATGTTGTTCTTCCGCTTCGCCGTTTGTGCGCATGGCAATCCTCTACAGTGCCCATAAAAAATCGGCTCTCCTTTATTTTAAGAAACAGGCAGACTAAAAAAGATAGGCCCCATGTAGACATTGGCAGTTGAGCTGGTTGACCGTGTTGACCGGTTGCTGTACATTTACTCTTTACATGTTTGGTCCGCCTCCTTCTTTAGCTCTTGTCAGTTGTAGTCTTTCTCCTCTCACGCTAATACGCTTCGCGCTGCAGCCTCCTGACAGTATGCCATCCCTCGGTGTGTCTTCCATCGGTGTGTCCTCTGTGTCGCTGTTGAACGCTGTGGCTAGCCATTGCCAGCTGCCGTTGGTTTCATACCTGTGGGAAATGGGGAGTGATGGTGTTCTTCTTGCTGGAGTGGAGCTTGTGCTTGTGAGCGGGGAACATTCAGGCCAGAGAGGGTGTCGCTTCTTTTGGTGTGTTGCATTCGAGCCGTACGAGACAGCACACGAACCTGCTGCTAGGGAGGCTGTCAGGTTCCTTCAGTCCATTTATGGATTTGTTGTTCATGACTACAATTTCAGATATATGGTGTCTTACAGAGAGATAGCCGCGTCTGCGATTGATTTGGCGATAGCTGCTTCAACCTGTTTAGCTCATATGAGAGCACCACATGACCTCCACTGTTTTAGGTTTGAGTCGCTCTTTAGAGAGTTCTGCTCAGTGTGGTTTGCTTTTGTGGCAGAAGAGCACAACCTTAATCATTTTGGTTGGATGTAGGTGGTTTTTAGGTTGTTTTCGGCTACTATCGTTTTCTGAGATTTGGTGTTTGTTCCGGGTTGCCCTTTGCATTGCCCTTGTGTAATAGGATTGTTTGTGTTGCTGTTAAATTATTTGTCGGGTTACTGTATCTCATTTATTCTACTTCCAGTAATGCGATTCTCTATTAGCATTTTCAGAACTATGTACTGACATATGTTTGCAACACACGCGTGCAATATCATATTGCTCTATATATGTGTGGTTAGATGTCATCCCGTTTTGTGTCACCCCAATCTGCGCGCCGGGTACAGAGGGCTCAAGAGAGCCGAGAACGCCGCCATTTCGCGATAGGTCAAGGTTAGCGTCTTTGTTATTAAAATTGACCATCTTTTTGGGTCATCCCATTCCAGCTGACATCGTTTTCCCAGCGGTTGTTAGAGGCTACCTCAAAACACCTGTCTTGGGTGTTACTGAGCAGCCTTCTGCTGCTCAAACTACCGAAGAGCCACTAGCAAGTGGTACAGAGAGTGTTATTGGGGTTGAACAGCCCACACCAGCTATAGCACCTCAGCCTAATGTTCCTATCGTGAGCAGTAAGTGCCCATCTAATTTTGCATAGACAAACATGCGATCCAGTTGCTACGATGTTTACGTCTACATGCTTCAGGAAAAAGGACGTTGCTCGATGTGCCATCTAAGGTGGCCTCTGTTAATAGGGAGAGACGCCGTGTCAAGAGAACGGCCGGCGAAAATCCTTCTTTTGTTCGTGGCGTACTTAACGGTATGTTATTGGAATAACAGGTTTCTCATGTCTGCTTTCAAGTGTTAGCCTGGTTATAGAGTCTTACCATCTATTGGACATATAGGTCCACGCGGTTCATATGAAGACATCCTGCCACTCCCTAAGGATTATATTGAATCCCTAAAAGGTTACAGTTTGTTTGTTTTCTTATTTTTGTCACGTTTTACGTCCCGTTCTGCCAGTGCATGACTCACTATTTGCTGCAGCACTGCACCCTGACCGTTCATACTATGGTGGCCCTTCTCACGAGTGTCCATACTGTGGTGTTGTCTTTTGGTACCAAGAGAGGGTCAAAAAGAGCTCCACGTTATCGAAACGTAAGATTGTTTACAATCTTTGTTGCAAGGGAGGCAAGATTGAACTTCCCGAACTGAGAATTCCTCCTCCGTTCTTAGCTAAGTTGCTCCGATATGATGGTGATGCTAGGTCTAAGCGATTTCTTAGACAAATCCGCTCATACAATACTCTCTTTTCATTTACATCCCTAGGAGCTGATGTCGACAAATCAATAAATACAGGTTCAGCGCCTTGTGTTTTCAAGATAAATGGGGTTGTCCACCACCGTATAGGAAGCTTGCTTCCTCGCCGTGGGGCTCCACTGAAATTTGCGCAGCTATATATATACGACACTGATAATGAAACAAAGAATAGGCTTAATATGTTTGAGAGAGAACGATCAGATGATAGTGGTCCTGACAAAGACATTGTAGATAACCTAGGTGCAATGCTTGATGATAATAACGAGCTGGTCAAAGCTTTTCGATATGCAAAAGAGAGATTAGATGGATATGGTGATGAGGAGATCACTCTTAGGCTCATGGGCTGTAATGTGAAGGATGAAGTGCAGTACAATCTGCCTTCAAGTGGTGAGATAGCTGCGATTGTTGTTGGGGATTGCTCAAAAAAAACATATACCTATGATGTATTAGTGAAATCTACTGACAATCGATTGCGTCAGGTCTCAGCTCTACATCCCTCATATATGGCGCTGCAATATCCATTGCTTTTCCCATATGGAGAAAGGGGCTACCACCTTGGCATCAAGTATACTGATTTCCCTAGCTTGCTACCTACTGCACGATGTTACGTGACGATGCTAGAATACTACAGGTATAGGATGCACTACAGACTTAACAAACCCAATCCATACACATGTTGTGGAAGGCTAAGCGACTCCTTAGTTGTAGATGCTTACTCCACTGTTGAATCATCGAGGCTACAGTTTATAGCTGATCACCAACCAGACCTACGTACTGAGTGTGTGCAAGGCATTGATGTTGCAATTGACCATGGTCTTTCCACTGGAGATTCTGTTGGACAAAAGTATGTTCTTCCAACGAGCTTCACTGGTGGCAAAAGATATATGGTGCAGAACTATCAAGATGCGATGGCGATTTGCCATGTATTAGGTGCACCTGACCTATTTGTGACATTCACGTGCAATTCGAAGTGGCAAGAAATTTATGATGCCCTTATTTATGAACCTGGCCAAGTGCCAAGTGATAGGTCTGATATGATAGTGCGAGTTTTTAATATGAAAGTTAACGAGTTTATAGCTGATATCAGAGAGGGCAACACGTTTGGTCCTGTCCTTGCAGGTATGTTGCTTTTCTGTTGACCTAAGCAAGCACGCTCACACAAGTCCTTACATCTAGGTTTCGAATGTGCAGTTCTTTACACTGTGGAGTTCCAAAAACGTGGGCTTCCTCATATCCATTGCATTGTGTGGTTAGCAGCTCAAAATGCTGATTTTAGTGCAGCGGTTGTGGACGGCTTCATCTCAGCAGAATTACCTGATGTATTTGCTGATCCTTTGGGTTATGCGTTAGTCGAGGAGTTCATGATACATGGCCCGTGCGGTGTAGACAATAAAACTTGCCCATGTATGAAAAAAGGTTCGTGCTCTAAACATTTCCCTAAAACATTCCAAGCTGAAACAATACTTGATGAGTTTGGGTTCACTGTGTACAAGAGACGAGACGATGGTCGCTATGTAATTAAGAATGGTAAAAAACTAGATAATAGAAACGTTGTTCCCTACAATATGAAACTACTCAAAAAATATCAAGCTCATATAAATGTAGAATGGTGCAACAAATCAAACATGATAAAGTACCTTTTCAAGTATGTGACGAAAGGCTCTGATCGCACAAAATGCTATTTTGAGACATCAACCCAAACAATGAACAGATCAAATAGTGAAAATAATGCTCCTAGGAACGAAATACAAGAATACATAGATGCTAGATTCCTATCTACATGTGAAGCTTTCTGGCGTGCCTATGAATTTGACATCCACTACAGACTTCCCTCCGTTGAACGACTCACGGTGCACTTACCAAACATGAACTTTGTTAGATATAAAAAAGGAACAGATCTTTCTGCATTGGTGAATAGTCCTGCTACAAAGAAAACTATGCTCATAGAATGGTTTGAGGCTAACAAAAAAACACACCTCTGCACATAATTTGACTTACTGTGACTTTCCAAAGGAATGGACATGGGATAGTAGTGCACAACATTGGCGCCCTAGAACTCCAAGCGAAAAAATTGGTAGGATATACTATGTAAGCCCGACTGCCGGGGAGCTATACTATTTGCGAATGCTTCTTATGATAGTCAAAGGTGCATGTAGCTATGCTGATGTCCGAACTTTCAATGGTGTGACATATTCTACATTTAAAGAAGTGTGCGAAGCTAGAGGGCTCCTTGACAGTGATAATGAATGGCATTTGCTTTTTGACGAGGCTATTTTGAGTGCAAATTCATACCAGCATAGGCAGCTTTTTGTCACTATTGTTATGTTTTGTTCAGTAACCAATGTGCGTGAACTGTTTAACAAATAATGGGTTTTCTTTACAGACGACATCCAACATAGATTACAAAATGCTCTTTCGAACCCTTCATATGTGGTGCCACATGACTAGTTATTAGCACTGCTTCTTAAGAACCTTGCTGATGTGTTTGCAAAGAGTGGTGGTTCCATAGCTGACTACGATCTTCCACAAACAAACAACGTCCCAGACCATGTAGTTGGCAATAGAATCCTTGATGAAGAACTGAATGTTGACTGTGATGCTTTAGCCTCCCATGCAAATGCATTGATCCCAAAACTGAACAGTGAGCAAAGAAAAGTATTTGATACTATAGTGGATTGTGTCAACGATGGCCGTCCTAGGTTTTTCTTTCGTTTATGGCCATGGTGGTACGGGCAAGACATTTCTATGAAACACTATAATATCTAAAATACAATCCGAAAAAAAATCGTTTTGGCGGTGGCATCATCAGGAGTGGCTTCTTTGTTGCTCCCACGAGGACGAACAGCACACTCGAGGTTTAAGATACCAATTGAAATCAGTGAAACCAGCATATGTAGCATTCGAAGAGGCACCATGCTTGCTGACGTAATTCAAAAGACATCATTGATTATATGGGACGAAGCGCCAATGACACATAGACGTTGCTTCGAAGCGTTAGATAGGACATTGCGTTACCTACTTTCTGAGGAGGAACCTGCAAATGCTATTAGACCATTTGGTGGAAAAGTGGTAGTTCTTGGTGGAGATTTCCGCCAGATCTTACCAGTTATACAAAAAGGTTCAAAAACAACAATAATTGATGCTTCGATAACAAACTCAATACTTTGGCCCCATATTACTCTTCTCAGTCTAAAAACAAACATGCGGTTGCTTCGAAACGACCTTATGCAAATAGATAAGGACGAACTTGATAGGTTTGCCAAATGGGTGCTAGATATAAGCAATGGAACAGTTCCAACGACAGTGAAAAACAACGAATCTGAGCCATCATGGGTTCAGATTCCTGATGACTTGCTGATAAAGACAGATGGTGAGAAAATACCTGCATTAATTAATGAAGTCTTTCCTGATCTATTGAATAACCACAGGAATCCTGAATACCTTTCATGTCGTGCCATTGTGTGTCCTAACAATGCTACTGTCGACGACATTAATAGCTATGTTGTTAACATGATACCAGGAAAAGAAAAGGAGTACTTTAGCTGTGACACAATCTGTAAATCATGTGAGCACATACAGGATTACGATTTGCTTTATCCTACTGAATTTCTCAACTCTATAAATGTGAACAACTTTCCAAACCATAGGCTTGTGCTTAAAAAGGGTGTCACCGTTATGCTACTGAGAAATCTTAATCAATCAATGGGACTTTGCAACGGCACTAGGTTATTAGTTGATGTGTTAGGACAGTGGGTTCTTCAGTGCACTGTATTGACTGGATCTAAGATTGGTGAAACGGTTTTCATACCAAGGATAGCACTTAACACTACTAGCTCAAAGTGGCCATTTATCTTGCAAAGAAGACAGTTCCCCATACGTGTTTGCTATGCAATGACAATAAACAAGAGCCAGGGCCAAACTTTGTCGCACGTTGGGGTTTACCTGAAGAAACCTGTATTCACACATGGCCAGTTATATGTTGCTGTGTCAAGAGCCACTTCACGCAAAGGGCTCAAAATTCTAATTGAGGATGATGATGGTAATTGTTCCTCGGAAACTAGGAATGTGGTGTATCATGAGATACTTCAGGCAATAGAGGTGACAGTGTGCTTTATAGGATGTTTAAGTGGTTTATCCCTCTTATCTGGACACGCTTCTTATACATTCATTTATCTGTGTCAAACGCAGGAACAACAAACATGAAAGGGGAATAGTTACAGAGATGTTTGCACATATAGGTTACCATGGAGTTTAATTTTGCACAATAGCTCTTATTAATACAACTGGTTGCCACCTATGTCGTGCTTTTAAGTGTCCTACGCTATCAATGTATCATAGGTTGAGCTGACAATTTTTTTTTGTGTTTCCTCACTTACAGATGGATCATTGCATTATCTCTAAGCTTGAGCCTGGTCTTGGCAATCCGCGCATTTGTGTGCGTCTTTCGCGTATGTGGAACTTCAATGACCCTAAGGATGATACTTCTCTTCTTCATGTAGCACTTGTATTGGTTGATGAGACGGTAAGATAATTACTGCTATACACACACTTCTATACAGTAAAATATATCTTACTAAACCGGCACTGAATTAGTATGGATATTAATTACAGGAAGGCAGCATTGCAGCTCAGATATTCCCACTAGATGATAAACTCTTTAAGCCCCTGTTGTCGGAAGGAAAGATTTACTACCTGACACACTATATTGTGAGGAATTGTAGCAGATCCTACAAGCCAGTGAGCAACTCTCTTGCTATTGCATTCACAAGATGGACTGTTGTTGAGGAGTATGTGAATGCACCCACCAGCTTTCCATTCTACACCTACTCCCTGAAATCTTTCAACCAGCTCAGTGCGCTTCTTGACAGCAAAGATTCATTCACCGGTAAAATAAATTATGCCAATTTTACACATGGTTACATTTCATTGGTTATTGCTAATCATTTTTTATCACAGACAACTCAAAACTCAAATTTTTTCCTGATATAGATACTATCGGAGTCATCATTGAGGTTTCATCTATTACTTTTGTTCGATCACGTACAAGGGATGGCGACAGCCTAAAGCGCAATGTGTTCATCCGCATGCAAAGTTAGACATCCTTATGCTTTTCATTTGACTATTTTTTTTCTTACATTTGTTTGCCTAATGTGACATGCACACAGAAATTTCCACAACCATTTTTTAACCCCCATTAACCACAAAATATTTTAAACATGTAATATCACTTTACTTCATTAGCAATGCCACTATTCGTGTTTCGCTTTGGGGAGACCGCGCTACTGAGTTTCCTGCAGAAGTGGTCGGTCTTCTCTAGGGGTCAGTCAGAACAACAAATTGTGATATTTGTCGGCACGTTGGTGAAAGGATTCAAAAGTAAGCATGTCCTGATGATTTTTCTTAGGAAGTTCTTGTGCATCTTGCTACATGCTCATCCTATAGCGCCATGCAAACATACTTTTTTGCAGGGGAAATCTACCTCTCAGGAAATTCTGCTTGCAAGTGGTACATCAATATTAAATGCGATGAAGTCCGAAGCTTAAGAGATAGGTAGGATCCATAAAAAAATATTTTTAGTATTCTATTATTTGCAATCTGCCTAGCTCAGCGCTAACAACAGACTCAAATTGCAGCCTGGCAACTCAAAAGGAACCAGTTAGGTGGCTTGACTTACCCTGGGCTGATGCCGTGCGATCTGCTGCTGAGATAAAATCAATCATCGAGATCAAGGACCTAAACCCATTCGTGCATAAGGTAAAATGAACAAACCAACATTAAATAATGTGCTCATTAGATGAAACCATTTGTCTTTATTTCCAATGCTCATGGTATCTAAACTGTAGAAACTCGAGTTTGTCGTCACAGTCACCATAAAGAAAATATATGGGTCTTGGTGGTACGTAGCATGTGACAGATGCAGGAGGACTGCAAGGCCATATGGAAAAACATATCGCTGTGGAGGTGGAGATTGCCCAGCAACTGTGCCAGCATCACCAAGGTTTCCTTCATCTTATAGCTTTGCTAGGCTTTCGCTCCTGTTTTCATGTTTGCAAAATGATGATTGTTCTGCTTATTATAAACAGGTTCAAGCTTGGTCTTATAGCTGGAGATGACACAGCTGATACAAAGTTTGTTCTGTTTGGTCGTATGGCATAGAGGATAATAGGCAAATCAGTAGAGAATTTACTGGATCAGCACCCGGCCGATGAAGCATATATTCCTAAACAGATCACTGATTTGCTAGAAAAACAGTTCACCTGGAATGTTAGTATGACTGATACAACTATATCAATTGGGAGCATTTCCTTCCAAGTTAACAACATTATTGGAAATGGTTCACAACCTCCCCTACTGCTTCAGTCACCATCATCATCTCAGGCGGTGTCTTCAGTCCCTCTCTTGACTATGTCACCAAGTGCTTCTGAAGGAATGTCTATTGCCCAGCAAAGCTTGACTGCTACAACTTCTCTTGGCTTCAATAGCCCTCCTGTGACACCTATGCAAGGCAAAGCAGTAGATCAGGAATGCTCATCAAAGACACCAACTGGGATTCCTGTGCGATCAGAGGATGAGGTACGTCTCTCTCTAACTATGCCAGTTGGTTTATTATCTAAGAAAAACTACATTATCACCAACCAACAATAATAATGCATCTAGGATGATGACAATGCGACACTTGCCACGCTGAAATGTCCTAGCCCAGCCACAAAGCATAGCGCTTCCAAGGCACCAAGGAAGAGGTTAGATTTAGATATCACCTTTCATTTATATGCCACATACTTTTGTTTTGTCAGTGGTATGCCAACAGATAGATTGCAGCAGGGCACGGTCTTCTCCAGGAAGTGCTACGGTCAAAAAACTTTTCAAGGAAGATGATGAGCAAAAGGGTGAAAAATGGTATTCCTCTTCCCCTTCACACGATCACAGATTCGAGTAGCATTGTTTGTTATATCTTACTTACACAATCTCTGTTCGATACTGCAGCCCAGACAAGAATGAGTAGATGCTCACTCCTTCTACACAGTTGCAGATCAGAAGAGCCTTTTGTTTGATAGCTCATACTTATCATGTCTGTCGCCGAGCCTGCAAACTGCCTTTTGCAAACCTGCATTTGATGCGATCATTTCATATATCGCACGAAAATGCCATTTCTATTCATGTGATCTGAAACTTAATTTGTAACGCTGCAAACAACATCTGCCATTGCTAGCAGTATTCATGGTTATCATGGCTATACCTTGATAATAGTGAATGCTATGTGGAATGGTTTAAGTTAGCTAATGGATTCAAACACCTTCCTTAATCTCTGTTTATTAGTCTGCTCAGTGCATCGAACATACAGCTGGATGTTTTTGTTTCACAATCTAATAGCCAACGTTCGTCAATCATAGTTACTGCTTAAAGATATCACATACTCATAGCGAGCACTGCGTTTACCGCTCACACATTTCCATCAGCTTAATGAACAAAGCAGAGGCCGACAATTAACGATTCCTCTGGAATTCACCCGTTTCAACCAACGCTATACAGACATAACCAGATAACATAGCTACATTCAAACATATCCAGCATAAACTTTAACCGTTGCAGCTTCTTGACCAGGACTTGACAAGACACCACACCAACCCAAATTCAATGTAGAAAGCATCCTCTATATAGAACGCTGAGTCCCTTTGAGCAATGTCACACTAGCTTTCCTCTATCCCGCGTTGCTGCTTCAGCGATTTCTCCTTGCTCAGTGTCTTCAACAAAAGGTAACAAGCTCAACCATTCAATCTACATTTCTTTCTCCTGTCTACTTCAGTGTTTGTCTCCTTCATGCATAAACCTGCTACTTATGTAAGATACTTTCATGTAGATTTAGCGATGTCATATGGAACCAACAGACCACTTAGAGGCACCAAGTTTAGCAAATTAAAACCACTATCTCAGCTACTTGCAGATATCATTTATCACAATGCAGTTGTTGTCACTGTCCTAGGAGCTGGCACACCCACAAAGACTAAAGTGGTAGCTATGGTGTCTACAATATCCAAGTTAGAACCAGGCGACATAGCACTTCTTCCATTCAAACATAGGATGTATCTAGCTTTGTTCATGGATAAAGATGAGCAGGAACAAGCAGCCGAAAGATTAATCGAACAAAAAACTTACACGTTTCAGACAACTCGATTAGCGTTTGATCCTTTCAAGCCTAACATGCACAGTGTAAAGAACCCATTGAGACAAAGAGTTATCATTGCTCTGGAAGGTATACCCCCAGAAACATGGAATGATGAGGCAACACCTGAACTATTGGACAATAGTTGTATGGTAGAAGAAATCTATGAGCAGTATCATATACAAGATGTCTCAATTTTTAGGCTTGCAGCTTGGACAACAGATGTTAATCTGATACCAAAGATTATGGACTGGAACATTGAAACAAAAGGTCCTCAACATACAAGCAAGGTTGATTGGGACCGTGAGGCTGCAACTGCTACTGTCTTAGTGCATATTGAAAAGCTATTTGACTACTCTGATGATGGTAGTGGCAGTGATACAGATGGAGAGATGCTGAGACACTATGAGGAAACAAACTCCAGGCCGGGTTCCTATCATCATGAATTTTCAGTGGACACCAAGAGTAGCGGACTCAAATCAAGGGCCTTCCGAAGCAGCATCCACATCTGCACCACGACGCCGTCTACCTCAAGAGCTTAGAAAGAACAATAGATTCCGCTAATTGCAATGCTAATCGTGATGTTGAAATAATCTTATCTCCTACCTTTTTACCTTGCAATACCTAGAAACCATTATCTATAGTCGTCGAATCAAGTTGTGTTGCTTAGTTGTTTACTTGATCTAATACAATGCTGTCATGTGTTGCTTTTAATCCCACAATACTCATGTACTCGCTATATCACATTGATTTCTTTTTTCCTAAATATTACCACACTAACTTCCGAAGGGGCGCCGCAAAGCGCGCCAGAGTGCCTAGTTCATTTAAATGTTAATGAATCTGGATATATATATGTGTTTAGATTCATTAACATATATATATATATATATATATATATATATGTGGGTAATGCTAAAAAATCTTACATTGTGAAACGGAGGGAGTAGTATAAAAGTACGAGTTCATCAACAATCCTGCAATCCTTGCCGTTGCCGCTCGTCTCATCTGCTGGTGCTGGGAGGTCATCCGCCGTTGCTGTCGCCGGAAGGTGCCTGCTCCGCGCGGCGCTCCGCCTCCGTCGAACCGCTGTCGGCACAGGGAGGACTCCGCGTGGCGGACTCTGGTTCCCGATCCAACCGCCAGCACTGCGGGGAGGTGGGTAGGGACTCGGGAGAGGGCAAAACGGAGCAAGGGGAGGGAGGGGACCCTGTTTTATAGGCCAAGGAGGGAGTGCCGACCATGGGAGGGACCGAGAACGATGCCGGAGGATGTGGCCGGCGGCATCAATGGCGACATTAATTTGAATGAACTTCAAATCCTGGCGATTGGGGACGGGATTAGAGGGGGAAAATTAGGGTAAATAATGAGAAGGGGATGGGGATTCCATTTTTGCAATTAATTTGGCTAGAACTCGCATGGGGGAGCAGAATTAGGGGCCGGCGGCACATAGGGTTTCACTGGAGAGAGAAGAGGAGGTCGGCGGGAGGAAGGGGACGGGGTCTAACCAATGGGACCCACGGGAGGCGTGGTCAGCGCGTGCGGGCGCACGTGTGTTGCGCATGCGACGGGTGAGGGTAGGGATGGTAATTTAATCCGTTTGTCCGTTTACCCGTGGGTAAATACCCTAATAGAGTTGGGTATGTTCTCCATTTAGTATCCATGGGTTTTTTGTGGGGTCAAAACCTATAATCAACGGGCGCACGGGCATGGGTAGTCACTACCCATGCCCGCTTCGCCCGTTTACCCGCAAAAACCAACTGATATGTGGTCCCTCAGTCAAATTAGTATAATGCCACCATCTAGTATTGATGAACTTGTAATACTTGTATGGTTAAACTTGGTGGAACTATACCCTTTCTTAAACTGTGATAATGTCTCTGCTTGTGGAGATTTATGGTTGAAGTGCTGAACTGTGAGTCTGTAACGGGTAAACGGGCATGCCCATGGGTAGTGTTCCTTACCTGTCATGTAGTAATGGGTATGCCCGCGGGCATGAATTACCTCGCGGGCACGGGCATGGGTAGTGCCTGTCGTGCCCGACTGCCATCCCTAGGTGAGGGGGAGGGGCGCCAGGTGCTGGGCGGCTCAGCTTGGGCTAGGCGGCCGAGTGGCATGGACCAGGTGGGCCGGGAGGAGGGGGAGGCCCGAGAGAGAAGAGAAAGGGAGGGAGAAAGGAAGGACTTCGGCTGCGAGCCGAGGAAGAGAGAGGAAGACTTTGGGCCAGACTTGGCCCAAAGGAGGAAGGAGGATTATTTTTAATTTTTCTTTTTAATAAACTTTGTTAAAATTGGAGGTCAGTGATTCTGAGTTACGCAATTCAATTCCCTTGATTTATGAAAAGACTAAAGTGAAAAACTCCATCTAAGCACAAGTTGATGGGTGTAAATACACTTCACTGGTTAGTAATTGTAGGACATTATCTCATTCCTTTTTGAGGCATTGCTAATACAAAACTGAAAAATTGTTAACTACTTCCTCCGTTTCATAATGTAAATCTTTCTAGCATTATCCATATTCATATAGATGTTAATGAATCTAGATATATATATATGTGTGTCTAGATTCATTAACATCTATATGAATATGAGCAATGCTAAAAAGTCTTACATTATGAAACGGAGGGAGTATATCTTGGTGTTAAACTTGTTAATATCATCTAGGACTTTGAAATGTGTGGGATTTTGAAATGCTAGAACATCATTCTTTGCTTCTAAGGGAGCAATAATGAGTGAACGGAAACAATGAGTGAAGGATGCTCCAAAAGAAGAAAAAACAGTTGGCATTCTTCCTTTAAACTTTCTAAAAATGAGTGTACGAATATAATTTGAAGAGTAGTATATATATACAAAAAATTACCATGTGGAATTAGTCCATTTTTTTAAGTTCATCACCTGAGAATCTTTGCAAGGAAAGGATTTCTGTTATGAAACCAGTTTTCTCGTGTAAAATATGATACAAAACTTCATACGTGGAACTTTGCATTTTTAGCTTCTGGTTTAGACAACAGAAGTTATCTCCTTCCAGCTTATATCTTTATTGTCCATAGGCATTCTTGTGTTTGTGCCCATTGTTAAATTCTAGTCAAGGAAAATAGGAATGAATTTTGATTGCAGCTTCTTTCCTTGAGTTCCGGACCAATTCTCTAGCTTAGAAAACCGAGTCTAATTCGACTATTACAATCTTGTCGAAAACTGGATAATGCAACGCTATCTTCAATGTCAACTACACTATCAGGCATGATAGCTGATTCATATGTGTATGTGAGTATGTCCCTGTTATCTAAGCCCAGGTCAACATGGCCTTTGGAAAGCTATATGATACAATGTTAGATAAGATGTAACGATGGCATGAAGAATAATTACATGCAGATATTTTTTTAGAAGAGATGATTCTTGCTTATTATAAAAAAAATTGATTCTACGACTTTTGGTCAGCACAAGTTCAACAATGCGTCACCATACAAGTATCTTTTTTACATTTTACAATTGTCGTCAATTAACCTCCATTGCATTAGCTCTTTGATTTTTTATGATGCCTAAAATAAACTAGCCAAACAATGGGATGTACGGTACTGTTCTAGGTACATACACGTATTTCATTTCTTCTGCTTCAATATACAAACTAACATAATACTAAATGCATCATATTATATACATGTGCATCCAGATGTTTGAGACGGCCTAATAAATGTATCGTCCTCCACGATCAGGTGAAGATTGCCTTAATATGTAGGGCAATCAATCTAGAACCGAGCGACACTGACACTACCTCATCTCCTGAGAGGGACTGATCTGGAAGTGAGTGACTGATTTGGAAGTGAACATGAAATCGATAATGACAAACAAATATTACATTTTTTTGCATTTGGTTGTCATGTAATAAATAAAAAAATTAAGGTTTAGTTCATGAATTACCAATGTATTGCTTACAATAATGTTATTTTTACTTGGTTCCTACTATGATTCTTTAATGATGTATAATAATTGTATTTTCTTCAATTTTATGTATCAACGTGCCTTGCACGTGCACGCTTACTAGTTATTATAAAGAATCACTCAAACAAAGAGTGTAGTTCAAACAAAATTAAACACAATCAAGTAAAAATAAAGCCGACCAAACCAATATAAATAGCACACAATTATTCAAATCAAT